TACACACATCAGATCACAGAGAAATCAGTCACCCGCGCCCTCATTCTCAGCATCGCACACAGACCAAGTGGTCCGTCAATCTTCCACCGTCGAAGATAGCCACCCACTCACCATTGCTCGCCTTCCATCGACATTCAGGTTATTCTGTCCTTTCGATTGAAGTTTTTGACTGATTTCGATACATGTAGATTAGTTATGTATATATATATATCGTAATCTTCGTTCAATTTTTTGTAGATTTCTTCGACATTGTGCTTGCTTTCTTTTACCGATTAAAGTTTTGACTGATTTCGATTCATATAGTTATGTATCTATCGTATTTAGTTTGATTTTGACTGATCCATCCACAAAATTGTATTTCCATCCAACCCGTCAATATATCTGAACATCACGAAGGTACTCTCTCTCTCTCTCTCTCCCCTAGATAATTCCTCCTTAGAGTTGCAGATCTTGATTCGCCATTGAAGAACTCTCTCTCGGAGCCCCTCTCTCTTTGTTTCTTCTCTTCCTTCTTTCTTCTTATTTTAACATCTTAATCTGCTCCTAGGGTTTGGATTAAGGCCATAGAGTTTGGATCGATGGATTCTTATACATCCCCTGCGTTGAGCATGCGAAGCAATGGCTTTCCAATTCCAATTCATCCAATCATCATCGATTCCGATCCGAATGTTACTTGTATGCATACTTCATCACAAGTTTTGATTTTGTGGATTTTTTATTATTTATTTATTTATTTCGTGTGTTTTGGTGAATTTGATTCGTAGATGTGGAAATTATGCCTCTTTTCAGATGCCGTGCAGGCTCCATGGTGCCGGTCCAAGTGGAAGGTTCGGATGAGCAATACCAAGCAGTAGAAATTGATTTCCTCCGAAAAAATTTGATTTTTTCCCTCTTCTATTTGATAATATCATGATTAGACATGCTCCATTAAATCACATATGAATTACATATCTGATAATGATATTATGGTCTTTGCTAAGTTTGCATCGGTTTGTTTTGGTGATTTTTATTTATCTACAACTCCCACTATAGGTGATAAACAAAGTTATACAGTAAGTCTATGGTTTTGAGGCCTTTAAGAGTTGAGATCAATATAATGTATCAAGTGTTGTTGTTTGTCTACTATTAACAGAAGAAAACTATGTTGTCTTGAATCAGAGAATTTAGTGACAAAAGTATTCAGTTAACCTGGTTTTCATTTTTTAATATTACTTGCTGCTGTACCAAGGTTATTCTGCTTTGCTAAAGAATAATGTGATTTAGGGACTTTGAATATTATTGACCATGTTATAATCTTTTAATCCAGTTCTTCACAAAAAGATAAAAACCAATTCAAATTCAAATCCTTTGCCAAAAGTCATCACAACTTGTTTTGAAAAATTACACTGGTTGCACTCTTTTCTTGCAATGTCCTTGTGCTCCTCTTGAGTTGTTTTGATGACTCATTAAATTTAAAATGAAATTGTGGTAAATTGGGGAGTTGTGTGAAACTATTAAATTAAGGATTGCAATGTGGATCAAAGTATCTTGCCCCTCCTTGGAATTTTTCAATTAATGATATTATTTTCAACTTGCAAAAAGTCAAAGTTTGCATTAGGGGGATTGGTTAGCAGCCTGGGGTAAAGTATTTAGGCTGGTGATTTTGCTTTAGTTTGTGCTGACATTACTTGTTTTTGCTATACAATCTTTTACAATTTCCTAATTCCATGTTTCCATACCCATTTAGGCTTTAGTTATTTTAAAACTTTGTGTCAATCACTCTACCACTATATATCTCATATTAAATAATCTTGAATTTTTTTGTACGGTTGGGATTGTTTGTCTTAATTTTTGTTGAATTTGGATTGAAGGTTTACTTTAAGGATTAAACTAGGATTAGTAAGGGACCTATTTATACATCTTGTGAGATTTTTTAAGGGAAAAAACTCTACTTTAACTTTGTTGGATTCATAAAAGTGAAGTTATTTCATTATCTTCATTATGAATATGCCAAAGGCTCCTCTATTTGCTGTTGGAACTAGTATGTGCTAACATTCTGGTATGTTGTGATTGCTGGATCTTTTCATACCTCATAAATTTAAGTTTGACTTCAAATGTTTCAAATTATTCTCTTAAATTGTTTCATTAGTTTTTCTTTTTGTATTCTACAGGAATACCGGGTAAAGATCACAAATTATTATTCAATGCATGTTATGAGAAAGTTGTGTATCATGCGTGTTTACTTGTCGAGATGATCAATTATGTCTTTTCTTTTTATATTAAAATATTCACACAACACACACACGCGCACACACATATATATATCTGTTTTTATGCTTTGTTTCCATGCTGGCATTTAGCCATGATGTTAATAAGTTTGGGATTTATGCCCATGAAGCATTGAAATTCTTTTTGACTGCTTTATGTTGTACTTGTTTTGAAAGTCTATTGAGTTAGATTCTGCAAAGTGGAAGAGTTGGTCCAAGACAAGAGACCTCCTCTTCTGTGGCAGCAAGTGAATTGGGGTTTTTAAAGGCAAAGACACACACAGTGGTTTAAGGTATTTGGTTTTAATGCTATATCTACAATAAGAGTGGCTTCTTTCTTTTTATTTCTCAGAAAATTTTCCTGCACTAACTACCATGGCAAGGTTGCTTTTACTACTGCCTTATTTGGGTGTGTATGTGTCTCTGTGTGGTGGTCTGTTTTCCCTATAGCTAATGCTTGTTATTTTGGTTGTGGAAGAGAAAATCATGTTAAAGTAAGACCGCGTTCTGGGGGAGGCGAAAATTCAAAACCCCCCCCGAACCACTGTGTGGCTGTCACGGACAGCTTCCCCATGACAAATACGACCTGTGACAAAAGACAGAATGTAAATAGCACGTGCAGGTTGGTAGTTAGAGCCGAAAATGCCTTAAACTTAGTCGAAAAATGGCGTTTCGGGGGCAAAAATTTAAAAGTCCCGAAACCACCGTGTGGCTGTCACAGACAGCTTCCCCGTGACAAATACGACCTGTGGAATGTAAATAGCACGCTTAGGTTAGGAGTTAAGAGCCAAAAACGCTTTAAACTTAGTCGAAAAATGGCGTTTCAGGGGCGAAAATTCAAAACAGTCCCCGAACCACCATGTGGCTGTTAGGGACAGCTTCCCCGTGACAAATACGACCTGTGGAATGTAAATAGCACGCTTAGGTTAGGAGTTAAGAGCCAAAAACGCTTTAAACTTAGTCGAAAAATGGCGTTTCAGGGGCGAAAATTCAAAACAGTCCCCGAACCACCATGTGGCTGTTAGGGACAGCTTCCCCGTGACAAATACGACCTGTGGAATGTAAATAGCACGCTTAGGTTAGGAGTTAAGAGCCAAAAACGCTTTAAACTTAGTCGAAAAATGGCGTTTCAGGGGCGAAAATTCAAAACAGTCCCCGAACCACCATGTGGCTGTTAGGGACAGCTTCCCCGTGACAAATACGACCTGTGGAATGTAAATAGCACGCTTAGGTTAGGAGTTAAGAGCCAAAAACGCTTTAAACTTAGTCGAAAAATGGCGTTTCAGGGGCGAAAATTCAAAACAGTCCCCGAACCACCATGTGGCTGTTAGGGACAGCTTCCCCGTGACAAATACGACCTGTGGAATGTAAATAGCACGCTTAGGTTAGGAGTTAAGAGCCAAAAACGCTTTAAACTTAGTCGAAAAATGGCGTTTCAGGGGCGAAAATTCAAAACAGTCCCCGAACCACCATGTGGCTGTTAGGGACAGCTTCCCCGTGACAAATACGACCTGTGGAATGTAAATAGCACGCTTAGGTTAGGAGTTAAGAGCCAAAAACGCTTTAAACTTAGTCGAAAAATGGCGTTTCAGGGGCGAAAATTCAAAACAGTCCCCGAACCACCATGTGGCTGTTAGGGACAGCTTCCCCGTGACAAATATGACCTGTGACAATAGACGGAATGTAATTTGGACCCGTAGATTAGGAGTTAGAGTTGAAAACGCCTTAAACTTAATCAAAAAATGACGTTCCGGGGGCGAAAATCTATAACAGCCCTGAGTCATCGTGTGGTTGTCACGGACAGCTTTCCCGTGACAAATATGAAATTTCAGCTATAATAAAGCAAATACAAAAAGTAGAGATGGTGTAGATCTCCTTAATAGAACAATTGGATAATAAAAAAATTGGGAAAAGAAAATCTTGGGAACATTCCTTCTCTTTTTTTTTCATGGTCATATTAGGACTTGAAAACTTGTTTATTTTGATGGGCAAATTACATACACCCCACTTGAAGTTTAGCTAAATTACATATTACCCTTTGAGGTTTCAAAAATTACATCCTGCCCCACCGCTGGGTTGGCACCAATGGGGCTCTCTGATAAAAAGACTACCAATGTGACTTCCTTGCTAACATGGGCTTCCTCCCAAAATTTCACCTTGGACATCCATAGGACTCCTTCCAATGGTTTCTTATAACATTCTTGCTGAGATATTGCAAATTGCTACCCCTAAAAGCTTTTGACTCCCATATGAGCCTAACCACCATTGTTTCTGTTTTCGTTTAGTTTCTAGTTACTTAAAAAATAAAATGATTTTGTAATTGATTCCATGAAAATAATAACTTTCAAGTTGTATCTAATTTATTTATTTATTATATAATTGTAAATGCGAATGTTATTCAATAAAATGTTAATGGATATTATTTTTTTGTTACAGATTGATGATGTTGGCATGGATACAGTGATGTTTTTGGGACAGATTGATGATGTTTGTACGGGCGTAATTTACATTATATTTTTGTTTATGGAAAACATGTACACCTGATATGTTTTATTAGTAAGATTTTGTTTAATTTGGATTTTAATTGTTGGTTTAGATAGTATACGTATTTGTTGGATTATACTATGTTTATGGATTCTTATTTTCTTTGATATGTACAGTTAATAGTTAAGTTTTGTATATGGTTGGAAATTGAATGCTACAGGTTGTGGAGAAATATTTTTATCAAATGGTTGAGAATCGAATGAATGAATGAATAATTTTGTATATGTGCAAGTTACAGGTGGCACGAAAAATATTACTGAACAATTTATAAAAACTTAATGAGACTTTTTAGTGACTAAACAAATATCACGTGTTGACTTTGGCTACTAAAACTTTAGTCGCCAATTGTAAAAAAATTGAAGCTTTTGGCTAATAAACTTTTAGTTGCCAATTGTAAAAAAAAACTTTTTGGCTACTAAAGTTTTTGTCGTCAATTCTCAAAAAGTGAAACGTTTAGCTATCAAATAATTAGTCGCCAAGCATATATGCTCAATTGGCTACTAAATAATTTAGTCATTAAAAGTAAAATATATATATATATATATATGTATATTTAATTATTGTTAAAAAATATATGGCGACTAAAATAGTTTGTTGTCAAACATACAAGCTCAATTGGTTATCAAATAATTTAGTCGCTAAACGTAAAAATATATGGCGCTTAAAGTTTTAGTTGCCAATAGGTCACTTTTTGGCTATCAAAAAATTTTAGTCGACGGTTGTCTTCCCCGACGAACTATTGGCGACCAAATTGGTGATCAAATATATTAGTCGTCAAAAGTAATTGGCGACTAAAATAAGACTTTTGGCAATTAAAATTTTAGTTGCCAAAAGTGAAATTTCTTGTAATGTAGTATGGTAGAGTTTTCATTTCAAAACAAAATATCTTTCAAACCAAATATGTACATATTATATTTTGGATTTTGTAACCCAAAATAAAAATTAGATTTTGATTGGAGCACTCATAATATCATCCACAACAGTACCATTAAAAAATATTTCCTACCATATCTCAAAGTAAGACTTGTAAAAAAAAAAACAAAAGAAAAGAAAAAAAACAAAGACTAACGGGAACAATGCTACAACCAAAAGACAATTTATATGAACACCATTAAAATTGCATTCTACCAAAAATCTAATGTATATGAGCACTATTGAAATTTCTAATGCATATCAAACCTGTAATTTTATCAATAAATACAAAAATTGTCTTTGTGCAAGTATATTCAAGCTATTTCAATAATAGAAGTATACCATCAATGAGAAGAAACATAATGAACAGATAGTAATATTCATTCAAAATTTATCGTATAAAATATAAATCATACTAGACATTTAATAAATAAATAATAATGCTCAGGCCACATCATATCGTATAAAATCTGCATTTCATTTCTAACCATTGTGCTATTGAGAGACACCTCTTCTACTATGATTCGAGATAAGTTTCTCAGGCTTCTTGTCTCTAATTTGCTGTACTATTTTCCTTTATGTCCAATCCAAAAGGGAAAAAAACATTTCCTTAGTGTAGCATAAATACACACACAAAATCAGTAATACAAACAAGCACGCATGCAAATCAATTGAATGAGAAAGAATAGATTTATAGCATACATGGAAAACACAAAAATATTGAAAATCCAAAAATCACAATCAGAAAAGTAGCAACACTTGATCAACATGATCGTGAAAGGATAATATATAACTTTTAATCGGATAGACTCAATAGTTTAAATTTGAAGATAAAACTCTAAGAATTATAGAAAAAGAATATCAAATAAAATCTTCTAAGAGAGGAAGGGGGAGGGAGGAGTTTTCAAAAAAATAAGATAAATGTGGGGAAAAAAAAGCAAATCAAATAAAACTCTAATAACAGAAGAATTGAGAGTCAAATATTCTATTTATTTTTTAATAATTAGATTTGGAATCTTAAATTATATTTGATCATATCTTCGAAGAATTGAGAGTGGAATATGTCATTTATTTTTTAATATTTAGAATTGAAATAATATATTATTTTATCATGTGCTGTCACGACCCAAACCCGCTCCTAAGGGTTTAGCATCGTAACCAGCTAGTAATCCGTGATTACCAAAGGCTTACTTAATAGTAATAATAATTATACAATAGGAGGGGCTGACGGAAGCTTGTAAATAATAAAATATAATGTCCAAAGAGCTCAAAGGACTTAAATGCACAAACAACTTCTATATATATTTACCGATACACACATAAGTCCAAGTCCATATCCAAACATATATGTCAACACTTAAATCCAAAGCATGTCTAAGTACAAAATAAAAGACGTATTGGGGAATTAAATCCCAAAGCCAAAACAAATTATGAAACATTCACTTGACTTCATATAGCATTCAAAAAGATGGATTTAGATCACCCAAAAAGCCTTGACATAACAGTTCGGAACCTCGCGGTGAGGTACAATAGGTTAGCTTGACAAAACGGAATCAAGTCGATGCTGCTAACTTTGCTCTGGTGCTTGATCACCAAGTAAGAAGCAAAAAAATTGAATAGATATAAGTACCGAACTGAATAGGATTGATTGAATAACAGAAGGATATGATTGTAATCTAATTATGCTTGACTTTGCTTGTTTAGGTCGGACGCTGCTTTTTAGACACATAGTCAGGGAGCCCACTGTGAGTAACAATGTTATAAAATTATGTTCAATTATAATTATTTTTTGAATGATTAACTGTACTGCTTTCTAAAATGATATTGTTTACAAAATGAATGTTTGTCCCATTTTATGAACTATACTGGGGGCATCTGCCGCTAACTTTGCTCTGGTGCTTGACCATCGAGTAAGAAGCAAAAGAATTGAATAGATATAAGTACCGAACTAATAGGATTGATTAAATAACAGAAGGATATGATTGTAATCGAATTGTGCTTGACTTTGCTTGTTTAGGTCGGATGCTGCTTTTTAGACACTTAGTCAAGGAGCCCACTATGAGTAACAACGTTGTAAAGTTATGTTCAATTATAATTATTTTCTGAATGATTAACTGTACGGCTTTCTAAAATGATATTGTTTACGGAATGAATGTTTGTCCCATTTTATGAACTATACTCATGGCATCCATAGTAACTGACTGTTACTATGAATCTTGTCATGCATGTATGAATTTCCATCTATATCAACAAATCTTACAACTAAACTTACGAGTTCCTTAAACACTCTTGAATTTCTTATGTTTTGAGTACATTACTTCAAATTCATAAGGGTAAAGAGAGGAGTTCTTACCTAGAGTAAACAATTTGAGTTGTCTTCAATGTTTTCCCTAACCCTCTTTTCAATTTCTTCTTCTTCTTCTAATCTTAGTTGAACTCTCAAATGCCTACTCCTCCCTTCTCTCTCTACGTGTGTGTGCAAAGGACTCAACTGAACCCGCTATCTTCCCTTATACCAATTAAATGGATAAATAGATGAGTAGGATTTTAATTAATTCAACTAAAGCTAATAAACATTTCTAATTAAATTAAGTTAATCCTTATCACAATATAATCTTAATTACATCAAATTTCATTATATTAGTGTGAATTAGGCTCTAATTCCTACCCAATTTCGTAATTCTAACTTGTTAAAGTTAATGAATCAGACAGGTTTAATTTTCACCCTAACCTATATGTCCACAATAATACAATTCAAATAATCACATGGGCAATTCAATAATACTTCATAACACATAATTAACAATAAGCATATAATCAACATAATTAATTTTCTTAATTAAGGAGGTGGTCATCACATGTGCATAGCATGGGTGACATGCTAGTAATAGAAGAATTGAGAGTAAAATATTCTATTTATTTTTTAATAATTACATTTGGAATCTTAAATTAGATTTGATCATATCTTCGAAGAATTGAGAGTGGAATATGTTATTTATTTTTTAATATTTAGATTTGAAATATCTAAATTAGAGTTTGTCATATTTTGAGTTCTATATGCATATTATTTCAAATTTTACTTTTTTTAAAAAAAATATATAAAAAATGACTTTTTATTAGAAATTATGAAAAATGAAAAGAAAAACTTCTTAGACTGCCAAGTAGAAGAGATTGTCTCAATTTTAAATGAGAGGCCAAGTTTAAGAGTTTGGAAGCTTTAGAAACTACACTACATTTATATATAGATATAGTATAGATAGTATAGGTTTAAGACTATATTGAGATAGTTCTCACTGTCTTGCTATGATTTTTCATTTTGTTAAGCATGACTTGTCAAATTAAATATGATCTATATGTAACATTACCTTCTTCTTTTTTTTTGGGTTAAAATTTCATGTTGATTTCATTGTCCTCTATATGTGATAGATATATGTATTATATCAAAGATGTAACCTGGTATGGCCCTCGATGCAATGGTTGAGATGTGACTGAATCACAAATTATATAATTTGATGGAACCTATCTGATAGAACCTGCTACAACTTTCAGGTCATACATAATTAACAATTTATATTTGAGGTTAGAAAAATGAACTTGTTTCTTTTCAAAATTCAAATTGAAAAAAATTGACTTATTTAACTTGGATTGAGCAATGCTATAAATGGTTCGTCCCACTACTCAATCCAAGCTTAATTTGCTAGTTGGTTCATCAGTTGGCAAATAGATAGATTTGGGCAGATCAGAACAGGTTATGCAATAAAATTACTTAAACCAAACTCGCTCATTTAATGAACAAATTTAAACAAGTTAAATTAAATTTGATACAGATTAAATCAATCGGCCCAACCCCATCCACTTTGTTGAACTATTTTTTCTAATTGAGATTGTTGGAGGAGGTGATCGGGATGATTGTTGTGGATGGTGTGAAGGAGGTGGTGATGGAGTGGTGTCAATAGAGGTGGTGGTCTAGTAGGTACCCTTTTAAATGTTGAACTCATTTAAACTCATTTATATACTTGAACGAATTTAGACTGATTTTTAATTGATGTATGAGTTCACAGCTTCAGAATGAATTTGTTATCTCTAGTTTTAGGTGAGATTTCGGATGAAAAATCAGTCTCTTGAGCTTAACACTTTTTTCACATTTACAATTCATTAGAGGTCCTGCAAAGATAAATCTTGCTTAAAATTACAAGCCCCCCCCCCCCCCCCCAAAAAAAAAATAAATAAATAAATAAAA